AAAAACGAATTATCAGGAAATTAGGAAGAGAGAGAGAGAGAGAGAGAGAGAGAGAGAGAGAGGGAGAGTTATGTTGTTGAGGAAGAGGAATGTTTTCTGTCTTCTCAGGGTGCGTCACCGGTTAACTGATTGTTAAAATGATTTTGCTGTTGAAGCTTTAATTAATGACTGCTGAGAGCATTAGGGACGCTCGTCCCGGCTTCCAATATTGAATCCTCTGATACACTTTCACATCAATTTCATCATTTAAATGTTATTAGGGAGTGAATTCTGGTCCCTGTTTCATAATATCCGTCTGTGCACAAGCACTGAATGACAGGAGATTCATTTGAGACTCTCATTTAGCTCCTATTTGCTCACAGGCTGTATGGTATGAAAAACATTTTGCTGTATATTCATTTATTCATGCAGCTGTACAAACACTGAAAATATAAGATTCTCACTCTTTTCAATAAATCATCTTCCAGGACCTTTCCAGGACATTTTCTTTTATTGACAATAGAGGACAGCACTTGCTCCCAAACGGTCATATAATTTACTGGTAGTCTAGTATTGACTTCTTTTTTAACGATGCAGAGTTCATGGTAAGTGTCTTAGGTTTATTACAGGTAGGTGATCAGTGTTTTTATGTGGGACACTCCGCGTTAGCTCCCTTTCGTTGCGCTTGGCTGTTCTCACCACCGCCGATATTTCTGCTGCGGCCTCCAGTGAACTGGCTACAGTTTACTTTAGTTTTCCTATTAACATTATGGCCAATGCCGTAACCATTAAAATCAAGTAGAATTTATCTTGTTTTACAGAAAATTTGGCAAGTGAGGAGGTTAAAATACAAGAAAATATTTCCAGGACAGCATAGATTATTTCCAGAGTTTTTGGTCATTTTAATTCCAGGTGTTTCCATGACTGGAAAACTAGTCTCTAAATATCCAGGTTTTCCAAGAAGCGTGGGAACCCTGTTACTGTTTGGTTGGTTTTTCTTAATTTATGTTTCCCTGCTCGCACCTTGAGAAGAAAATACTTTTTTATAAACTGGTCTGATATGTGAAGAATCCCTTTCATTTTCAATTGGCTCTTGAAGCGTTTATTAAAATGATTCAGCCCATAAGAAATAATGACTGTGATAATAAATTAAGGTGATCATAGTAAGCGGTACGAGACATTTCTCTCTCTCTCTCTCTCTCTCTCCCTCTGCATGTTTTAGCTTGCACTGCTGCAGCTTTATGTTAATCTGACAGCATTCAATTCACACTTGTGCCACGTTGATAGTGATACAGAAATGTTACCAGGTCAGACCTAGTGAAGATTATCGTTGTGATTTTGACATAAATGTGACCTCTGTACTTATTCAGACATGAGACCTGCGTTTTAAAGTGCCATCAGATTAAGGAGCTGTAAGGAGCTGAAGAAACACTGGCTCTGTGACACCCCCCTACCCTACCTCTCTCATCTTGAAGAAAGCCATGCCTGTGAGTAAAGAGTCAGAGCCGGCCTGATGCTGTGGTCCGATCCTCTCCAGCTCCAGTTGCTCAGCTACTTCCTGCAGCCCGCCCTGAAAACCAAAACAGCCACTTAAGATCCAACTTTCTAGTCAGATAAAACCAGAGCGTCATACTCACAAGAGATCACTACAGAAAACAAAGTTGTTTAGCTTTAAATGAATAAAACAGGAGATACTCTGTGCAACCTGCTGAAATATTTATTTAAATACCTTCAGGTTTTTACAGCTCTTCATGAGGTACTTCACATCGTAAATGACTGGAAAGTATAAGCGAAGAATTTCAAAGAAGTCCACCTCCTCCTCGGGCAGGTTTGCGTTGGACAGAATCTTGATCAGGTATCCAAAGTCATAGCCGCTGCAAAAACATACACACAAACACAGGCACAGCTTTCGTTTTTTTTAAGAGCACACAGTCGGAGGCTTCGAGAGATTCTGTCACTTCCAATCTGCCACGAAGCAAAGATAATTAAAGACAGGATGAAGGTTTTTTGTCTGTACCTGCTTGCCCCTATGTCAAGTGTACAAGACAACTACACATGCAAGGATTAACTACACAAAGTCATTATCCAAAAAATATCCTGTGATTCGGGACTTTACAAAAAAAAACATCCTACTAATCATTAATGACTAATAGGAACTGAGAAAAGATGGATAAGATAGACCAAGTATCCAATAAGATAAACACCAAATTCACAAGAAAAAAAAAACTAAATTAAAGAAATCCGATGACAAAAACAACAAAGAATATAAATTAAAAACATCATAACATTAAAGCCTGTTGGTAAAGGTGTGTTCTAAATACCTGAAAGAGATGACAGTGGCGTTTCAAACCTAAGCTTTGTTTATTTTCCAAAGCCTGGTTACCTTTAGCCTCAGTTTGCCATGGAGACACAGAGGGAAACTGAGTACGAAATGAAGATGTTAAGCAGCAGAGTGTAGAAAATACCGTCGAGAAGTCGCTTCGTCATTACAGACCAATATAACAAAACAAGTGTTCAATACACTTGAGCAGCAGTTTTTTTTAAATGGCAAATTTTTAACAGGATATTTTTTTTGTTTTAACATGTTTGTAGGCAAAACGATCACAGTTCTGCGTAACATCTTACCTGTCACTAAAAAACAAAAAAATCTAATCAAAATTAAAACATTTTTCACGTTCCTTCTGAAATGCCACAGCAAACATCATTAGTAAACATTTAAACACAAGAGGATTGTCTGTGTGCAGACATGACAAGATATAACATACATTGAGAAATATGCTGATAATATGGGAGGGGGGCATTGGATAAAAGATACTGTGTATTATATATATTGTATATGTATGATGGTGAGCAAATGTGAACAAAATGAACACAAAATGTTACTGATAAGTGCTTGTTGTCGTCAATGTTACGCCTGTGACACTTTGTGATATCTGTAAATGTTCCAATATTCTCCAAAGAGCTGTATGCAGCCGTCTACAGTAAAGCTGGAACAATTTAAACCTGACTGTACTCAAAAACAGCCACATACCTGTGAAACGACAGCCACTTGACCCCATCGCAAAGCACCACTCCTGACGTCATCAGCAGCTCTGCAAAGTACAGAGTCTCGATGCCTTCGTCCTCGTGCTTCTTGAACTGAATCCCTGAAGTGGTCAGGAGCTCAATGGAGTCCTGTGCGTACATATCTTCTCTGATGACAAAGACCAAAAAAACCACTGTCATTATTTCAACCACAAAAGACAGTCAAGTAGGTTTGAGAGCCGCAAACGAACTGTTATGATTATAAAATATAATCTGCATTTTGACAGGGCAAGTGTGAGCAACACAGTATGAACACTACATTCTCACATCTAGCTGAGACACTCCTACATTAGCTGGTACAACCACTATAGTGGACAAATGAAGAGATCGCAGGCACATCGGTATCCTAATCGCAGCGTATATGTTGTCCGTTATGTGCCGATATTTAAACGTTCCCGGTATATAATGTAGAAAAAGTTGCTTACAATACGGTCGTAAGCAGCACAGTTAGAGAGAAGCCCTCAGGAGTGTCAAATAGAATTGGTTCAGTGTTGACGTTATTTAACACGTAAACATTAATAAAGTTATTGTGTAAGGAAGCCTGCTGAGTACTTTTGTATGAAGATATCAGTGGATGTTGCATTCAGATCTGTGTTGCCAAAACCTTCAGTTTCCTGTTAACTGACATAAATAGGTGCCACAGATGCATTCGAATGCCACACAAGATGCGAAAAAGAGTGAGAGAAGCACAAAAAAAGCCCTCTTACGTGAGGTTAAACTTAAAATTGAACTGCCATGTGGATGTCCCCGGAGGGTATTCTCCTTGCTCGTTCATAAACGTGAGGCCCAGCTGGATTATCTTGAGCAAATCCACATTGCAGCGCAGTAACTGGTACTGGTAGTCGGCGTTGCTCCTGAACTCTCCGATCGGTCTGGCTACTACACCGGGAAACTCAGTGTCCTGCAAGAAGACAAGACAACTCACTATGCACAACGACAAACCTGCTCACGTCGGGACGGTTTTTTTGGAGCTTTTTTTGGGGGGGTCTTTCGAGCACCACTCACCATAGCGATGTAGTTGTATTTACGGATGACATGTCGGATCCTCTTCAGCTCCTCCTCCAGGTTGTTGGCCCAAACCTCACATATTTTTTGGCTGTGATCCACAGTAGCTGCGGGCATAGTGCCACTTCATGCAAAAGACAAAACAGAAACACACAGAACGAACGCTTCAAAACAGAGTCATAAAGCAACCTGCTGACCTGTCACAGAGATAACAATCAGAGGTGGAAGACAACACAGATACCCAAGAAACACTCACAAACCATTCCGGCTCACCAACACATTAAGGTCAGATTGTTAATTGCAGGACATGCAACCTGCTCTGGCACACAAGATCCCAATGCCAGTCTCATTATTTTGGAAGGGGAAGCGAATGCAATCTCAGATGTTAAGGCTGAACAAACCTTTGCATGAATACAGAGGCACATGTGGGGGTGTGGGGGGGGACAGCAGCTGGTATAAGGTTATGATAAAGACACACAGGACCGTGCTTGGCTGGCTGTTCACATTAGCTCGTCGCAGGCAGGTTTTCCAGCAGCACTTTGTTTGTATTTTTTATTATTTTGTTGTTGTTGTTGTTGTTGTTGGGGGGGGGTTGTGGTAGCTAGGTTACCTGTAGCAGTTAGCAGCAAGGCTACAAGGGCAGCTAACATGGAGCAGGGCAAGTTGGGAGGCTCTCGGGGTGGGAAGGGACACTTCTCAGGCAGATAGCTCGCTCGACGGGTGAGTAAAAGTGTGTGCAAGAGACGAAAGACACACACATAAACACACGCACACATAAACAGACACTCGGCGGCCACTTTGATAACGCATTGAAAAAATAAAATAAAAATAAAAATAAAAATCTCACTGCAGCCTCGTGAACTTACCGTTCCCCCAAAGCAGGCGGTGTGTGTGTGTTTTTAAGTGTGTAACGTTACTATCTGCACAACTGTTGGTTTGTTCTGCGTTAGTGTGCCGGGGTTTGTTTTGTTGTTTTTTCTCTCTCTTTTCTTTCCTGCCGCTAACTTTTAAATAGTTTATATTCAGTAATGTATCGATGTCAACCTACGGCTGCCATCATAGCTGAGCCTGCGACGCGACGTCATCACGTAGGGCAGGAGACGTCATGTGCGTGAGGTATGTACGTTTGCATTCGTTCGTCGAGAAAAAGGGGAAAGGAGGTGATAAGATTGAGGTTTATCCCCCCCGAAAGAAACACATTTGTGTCAGTATTATATAAAAAATACAATGTGAAAGAATTAAACATTTATTCTTTGTCAGGATTCTGTAAAAAAAAAAAAATATAAATATATATTTTGTTTCTCAAACCAACCATTCAGTTAAAGCTAGAAGCCAAGGATGTGATACTATACTGTGAAAACGCAGCTGAAAGTGGAGCCAGGTTCTGTTATATTATCCTTTTTCATTGTGATGCCTTAATGTAATATACTTTTTGACTTATGTCTGTTAAAAGTGACAATACAATTTAAAAAATAATTATTATTTCCTATTTATTTGTTCATAAAAATATCATAAAAGGAACATTTAAAGTTGTATTTGTTCATGCACCTGCTTTAATAACTGAAAAAAGAAAACATTTGAGTGATAGAGGAATAGGGTTACATTTCAAATGTATGTTTAAATTAAATATGTTCAAAATTTAAAGAAGTACATTACAAAACTGTGCATATGATTTACCCCAAACCAACAGATTTGTGTCAATATTTGTTCATATTAATAATACATAACAATAAATAAATTAAACATTTCTTTGTCAGGATTCTGGGAAAAAGAGGATCATTTTGTTTCTCAAACCAACCATTCAATTAAACTAAAAGCCATTAATACTATATTATGAAAATAAAAAACAGAAAATTCAGGGATTGTCAACTCATTAATTTTATTAGGGAAATATCACATCCACAGTGTTATTTTGAACCTTTTAGAATTTAATTTAGAGTACTTTTATCTAATCTATAAACAATAAAAATGTGTTAGTATGCATACAATATGAACGTGATCTTATTGCCTATTATTCTGTTAAGTTACTCCTTTAATTAATTGATCAAGTCTTGTTCTGTCTCAGTTTTTAAATGTGTTATAATGCCTTAATGTAACTTATGTCTGTTAAAAGTGACAATAAAGTTTTTTTTAAAAGTATTTATTATTTTATTTGCTCATAAAAATAACAAAAAAGTACAATTTAAAAAGCTGTATTTGTTAATGCACCTGCTTCAATAACTGGAAAAGAAAACGTGTTTACTGAGAGGAGTTAAATTTCAAATGTATGTTTAAATAAACAATTTAATTTAAGAATTTATCAAGAGAAACGGTTTAACTTTTAAAAAGATCCTCATAAATGTTCTTATTTCCTATTATACATACACTATTACATATTTTTCCATATGAATTACCCTTATTTAATATTTGACTATGCCACTTTGATTTAACACAAAATGGCAAAACAAACAAACAAACAAAACAAAAAAGCATTTTCGATCCACAAAGTAAAATTTGTCTTTGCTTGTAGATAATAAATGAAAGCAGATAGCTGGATGAGCCACAGAGCACCAGTGCTGACAGTGCTTCAGGGTCTGGCTCAAGGCCAGTACAGCTGCACAGATGTTCATAAACAACAGGGATTGATGCTTTTCCCTAAAATGAAGGACAGTCTGTGCTGCCATTGACTGAACCTGACTGATAATGTAATACAATCTGGTAGAGGTCGACTAATACAGGTCAACATTAAAAGTACTGCTGTAGTTTGTAAACAGTTTGTAGACATACATTTAAAATCTAAATTAAAATTGTTTAACAAAGTTGTACATTTCTTGCATAAAGGCTTTTATATTGTGAAAAAAGGGAAACAGGAGTGATACACAGCTGGGTTTCAGTCCTACTGGTTCGAGTAAATATTCTCAAGAAAGACAAACTGTGCAGCTTATTAGCTGTTTAGAGGAATTCAATACACAAAACCTAGAATAAACCTAGATTTTGCATATTGTAAACTGAGTCTGCGAATGATAACATTCTTAAAGGGTTGGTTCACTCAAAAAACCCATAATTTCTCACTTATCCCTTATATTGTCCAGGGATCAATTTATTGGTCTCAGATATTTCTGCCTACACAATCTAAAATTACATTTAACATTCAACAGCAACATATTTTTACCATAGGTATTCCAGTTGCTCTGTGAATGTATATTAAACCTAGGACTCTTAAAGAAACCATTTATTACTTATTTTCCCCATTGTTGAAAATTCAGTTTCTTTTTTTAAAACATAAATTCTATTCTAATACATCTACCTATGCTGTGCATACTGTATGTACTGAATCTACAGTAGACTCTGTCATATCCACCTACCCCCATGTGCATAAAGATACCTGTACGTAGAATATTTATTTCATCTGAAATTTGCACCATTGTCTACAAATGTTTGTTTATATATATACGTATATATATGTGTGTGTATAACTGTACATATTAGTCTGTCTTTTTTGTTTAACTTGTTCTGTTTATTTATGCTGTTAGTCTGCATTTGTACATTGAGTCAAATTCCTTGTATGTGCACACATACCTGGTCAATAAAAGTGAATCCGATTCTGGTTCCTAATCCACAGATTACACTGTCAGAACTAGTAATGCCTATGAAAACTTATTTTATCCAGAAATTTAAAACCCTGGGAAAATAAAACAAAACCTATCCACTACATACAACTAAAGATATCAGAGTTTTTTTGTTGTTGCAATTTTGGGTGCATTTACCCTTTAAAAAAATAATAATAATAAACGTCAGGGAAGAACACAACCAAGAATTATGAAGAAAAGATGATCGACAATAATTTATTTATTTCAAAAGAAAACACAAATTACACAACTTTGCAGTTTGACAAATTTGGCTCTTATTCCACCTGAACAAACAAAGCTCTTTCTTTCATACAAGATCTGAATTCATTATGACTGGACACAAGTAAAAACATGCATTAAAGCAGTCCAAAAAAAAAAAAAAATAAAGAAGTCATAGTACAAAAATATGTTAACATGCTTTTCTCGATAACTCTGCATTGTCCAGTTGCGGTATTGGAGTGCGCCTAATGTGTACTACACTATTAAAGTCAGCAGTTTTAATTTTATAGTCAAGGTGGCACAAATACTCCGATATCCTGTAAGATCAGTCGGTATATTTGTTTTCACATGTTCCCCTCTGCTGGTTCAGTGCTCAGTAGCCATATTATTTACTCTGTGCACTTTATACCAGCGGACAGCAGATTCCCTTTTGTAAAAGAACTTTGGATTGAAATATTATGGACAGAAATGTATACGGTTTCCTTGTGAACGCTTATTATTCACATCTTGCAGTGGAAATATCCCATGATATTGTGTATGCAGTTAAAATACAGGTGCCAACCACATTTAAATCACTGGTTATTGTAGTGTAATGACTCCAAACACCCAGCTGAGGTCACTGTGGCGTTCTGAGGGAGTCTAGTACAGTCACAACATGTCCTTAGGGGTACAAAACACTGCTACATTTCCATTTGAATCACAGGATTACTGCTGCTCTTTCCAGGCCAGACTGAAATCTTGAATCCAGACTGCCTCCGAGTAGCAGCGACCATGAGGTGCGACAGCATTTAAAAACAGATATTAGACAAAACAACCAAAATACTTTATGGAAAAAGGACTTGCAGAGATAAATGTTTGCTAACACTGCTACAAAGATGAGTCATTCTGAATTACATTTAGCAGCACGTGTCGACAGCCTATAATCTGTACACATTTGACATATCCTTGATGAGCTTCAATGTGCTGTTTTTCTATTTGTTGTCATTATTTGATCTGTTTAATTCTGTTCCAATTTGTTAAATAATTAACAGTCTTTAATATCAATGCACCTAAAATAATGGTTTTGTCTCTTTGGAGCTCTGTTATTGTTTCATGTTGCTTAATAAATGCAATATCAAAGTGCTGCTGACTATTTCAAGTCCTTGGTGTTCACATTATAAAGCCAAATGCCTAATTAATAAACTAAGTACATGGAAGACAATAGTAAAAAGCAAGCATACACAGCTAAATTGCTCATCGTTAATTTTACGAGACGACACTTTCTTTATATCTCTGTGTCTCCCTGGAAGCATTTAACTATGTGTAAACTCTGTGTACACTCTTATGGTTTCATTCTGCCATCAACAGACAATAATCTGCTTACTTTTATTATCTTAAATTTCTTTTAGCGGGGTAAGGAGTAAAATGTGGTCAGCTACAGTGAACAGCTACTAGTATGTATGTGGCAACAGGGAGAATCTGCCACACTACATGCAAACAAAAGTACAAGTCAATTGTGTAACCCTGAATAAGACTTTTCACTGAAGTTAGCCAATAGTTGGGGTTACTTGGTGAATGTAAAAGGAAGTATTTGTTCAGTGGCCCCATGGAAGGCTGGTCGGTGCGGCACCTTCCACCAAATGCTACACTTGCTCAGGCAGCTGAGTAGGCAGCCTCATCGGAGTCTGGATCCCTGGTGCTGTCCTCGCTGAGGGGCGAACGGCAGCTCAGGTCTGCAATCCCCGACTCCTGGTCGCTGCCGTTGGAGAGGTTGGATTCAGATGTTTGGTTCAAGTCCTTGGGTAAGAGGATCAGGCTGCTGTCTGGCGTTTTGGGCTGACAGGGGCTGCTGGTGAGGAAGCCCCCGGTGTAGTCCTGAGGGGTGTTGGCCAGACTGAGATCGTCACCGCGAGCCCACGCTGTAGGGCTCTTATCAAAGACGGCTGCTTTCTGGGTGACACTCCTCCACCCTTGCTCCTGCTCCAGTTGAGCAATTTTCTATTGATAATTTAAGACATGAAGACTACAGTCATCTTCTATAACCAGGAAATAAAACATGACAATAGTTGTTTTTTTTCCTGATGAGAAATAATGAGCAGTATGAATTCAGTCCTACCTGCTTGTGTGAAGCAAGTTGCTCCTCGAGCTGCTGCGTCTCCTCTTGGATGGCACTCAGGTAATCCTCCACAGACTGTCGAGGATGCATCCCTCGGTCAAAGCGGTTGTACAGCCCTCTCCAAAACCTATATGGAGCAAGAGATTTCAAACTCTAAAATTAACACATTGTCAACTCTGGTTCCTTCCTTTGTTTCATTTACCATTTATATGCATTTACATCACATGTAACAGGACAGAGGTTCCCAAACTTTTTCAAGTCATGGTCCCCCACAATAGATGCACATTACACGTGGACCCCCAGTTTGAGAGGATTATGTCTTAAGGAATCCCATACGAGTATGTTATTTTAATTTTTAGATTTCATTGTCAATTATCAAACTTGGATCATTATAAATTCAAATCAATAAAAATGGACAACCCTATTTCTTCTCTTGTTGTTGCAACTTCCAAAAAATGTGACAAATCCTCTGCTGGGGATCCCCTACAACCCACACAAGGATCTATATTGGTACCCAAACCCAGTTTGAAAACCACTATAATAATAAGAAATACATGTGTGAACTAGATTTTAAACTTGTGTGTTGTTACGGTTTGTGAGAACCTACTTAAAGCAGTAGGGGGCGGTAGATGGCCGGAGGAGCCCCTGTGTCTGGCTGTGGTCTGGTCGGTACAGAGGGTTGATGTAGTCTGCCTGGTTCGTCCAAAGATAACTCCACAAAGAGTGAGTCCTCTCACGCAATCTGCAGGAATGTCAAGAGGCAGTCAAGGGAGAAAGACAGGACCATAAAAACACGATTAATGGGTTTCTGAACAAAGAAAGGTTTTTGTTTCTAGCATAGAGTGGTATATATTTGCATGAGCCCTGTGATGTAATATACTGCTGGCTGTCACTTCTCTTCAGCAGTCAGTCTTCTCTCAGAGCGACCGCTCTGACCAGATGTCTGTGCCGTGAAAAGGAAAAGAAAGTGATGGCGGGCTGCAGGTATAAATCTCACCCTAGCTCTATCCTCTCCCGCTGGTTGTTGCCAATGAAGTTGCCATACTGGCAGGAGTAGATGTGGCTGTGAATGGTGATGAGGAACCTCTCGTTGAACTCAAAGGCACAGGGGAACTGCTCCATAAGCTGCCACACGCACTCCAGGAACTGGTCGATGATGGGAGATACCTCTTTAGGGTCTCCAACCAGGTGGTTGCATCTGGAGAAGAGGGGAGGACCGTTAGATCCAAACAAAACCTTTAAATCATAGCTGCCATGGTTGTATTTTAGAGTCAAACCTGTGAGAGAACTTGTGTCCAAATGAGATCCAGTCCTTCTCAATGAGAACCTAAAGAGCAGAAAACACATGCATGTACTAAAACACAAGCAGGACCAGAGTTTTGTACACATTGAATTCAGTTTGCCAAGATTAAAGGTTCAGACATAGTTAAACCCTGCAGAATGACTGAACCGGTTCACCCTCTGTGTGGGGTCACTTTCCTCTAACTTTTGAGGAAATTCTCCAAAAGCAGGCTTCTTTATTATAATCATTTTCCACAGTTGCTCTCGGTGGATTCCAAGTTAGCCTGCACAAATCCTTCTGATCAAAGCCTCCTGAGCTCAGTATCGTCCACCATCAGTCAGAATGTGATGGATATATGAATATGAGTGTACCAGTGGGGCATGTGACATTCACAGTGCTACTTAAAAAGGATGCAATTCTACAGTGTAACATACAAAAAGGTTCAGTATGTACCATGAGTCCTCTGAGGGTCCTGTAGTAAGGATCCAGCAGCACACAGGCCACTGAACACACCTGGGCAGTGCGGTCCCAACCGTCCGAACAGTGAACCAGGACACTGACTCCCTCCTCTGCAACAGCCTGCACACACATACAAATACATAGTCAGTGCAGCACCGCAGCACTATCAGGATAACAAAAGGCAAATATCAGCATTAATCAGAGTAAATTGTAGCCAGAAAGGTCCACAGTACACATTTTACAGCTTCTAAAGAAGGCCCAGGGTTAGGGAAATTTAAGAAATGCCACCCATTCTTTCACCTCACACACACACACACACACAACTGTGCTTTAAAATTAATTAGTAAATAAATCCTACAATGCATGACTGAACAATGACAGCAGCTTAAACAAAACTGCACTTTAGATAGGTCTAAAGTTTAGGGAAACAGATTTGTTATGATATTATACTTTATTATAATTACATTGTATTGTGAATCGTTTCTTCCTGATGTTCCTGTTTTTATGTGCCTTGAAAAGCCTGACACAGCTGGTTGTGGTATTTTATCAGTAATTAAAAGCACTCTGTTAACTGGCAGTTTACCAGAAGAGAAACTGCCAGTTATCAGATCATTTTTGTTCCCCAGTTGTACCTTTTAGAGCACTTGCTTCTTCCTGTTCGGCTGCATACAAATCCTTTCTCTGTCTGTTGAATAGATTCACCCCAACCATTCCCTAAAGCCAACCATTACCTTAAACCTACTACACCAAGAAGATTGGCTATTTCTATATGGTTATTCTTAATGCCCACAGGGTTAGATGTCTTAGGTATAACTATCAACTGAGTGTACACAATATCTGTTTCACACATAAAAGATATAACACACAGAAACACGCACATACACCTAAGCTAATACTGAGTGCAGTGGTGAAGCAGACAGCAGGGATTAACCTCCAGACTGACCTTGGCGATGAAGATGCCTGCATCCAAAACAGCTTTGATGTGCTTCAGCCAGCCTGAGCTCTCCAGACCTTCCAGGAAGTTGGACATGGAGGGGGAACGAAGCTCACACACTGTAACCACAACACAGCTGTCTCACTGGCAGGAAACATGGAGCATACCTGATAACTGGACTTTATTAAACCTCACATTCACTTACAAATCACTAATAATCCCCATGACAATAAATCCGTAGAGAATCCGTGCATGGCATGAGATTATGTGGGTCATAAGAGTCCGTTTATTATTTCTCAAAACAGATTTCTTTCTGTTTCTCACGTGATGGTTCATTTGGACCCCAGTCAATGTTTCTAGTCACGTTAGCAGCGTGGCTCTAGGGATGGCAATGTCTGTCGTTCGGTCGGTCTGACTAAAACTGAAACAGATCCACACCTGTTGAATAGATAGCCATGACATTTTGAAAATGTTCCCCAGATGATGAATCATGACTGACTCTAGGGCCACCACGAGGTTCATTTGTGGTGTTGAGTAAAAC